ATTGCGTGGAAGGTGACTGAATTGTCAAAATATAGATCTATCTGGAGGTTATCCTGGTAAAGGATGGATAAGGATAGAAGGATGAACTCTAACACGTAAAAAACGATGTCAAAAAGACAATCTAAACTCAGGAAATAATAAAAATCTAAAACGTGGCAACCCTTACCAGTTGGTGGTTGTTGAGATCAAAGGAGTTGCCACACGCAGCGCTCTGTGTTAAAACTTTATGATATTGTTACACGTTAAATGTGATACTAAAATATTTAAACTGTAATTAAAAGTAGTGATTTTATTTGATTCTAGGAATATTACTAAGAAATACTAAGAAATTAAGGAATTGGAAAAAAATCTTATGTATTGTTTGTTTAGTTTTATTGTAAATGTTTGAAATATACTTTTTGTGTCGGTATTAATTTATTTATCAAAATAATAGGTGTGTAATGTGCAGTTATTTATTTTGCGTTAAACCCTAATAAGATTAATAAAATTTCAGTTTCGTAGTTAATATCCAAAAGTTGCTACACCATGAAACTCAAAAAAAATCTATTGAATGCCAAAACTTTGTTGTAGTTCAAATAAAAACTACGTAGTTTCTCTTGCGGTTGACCATGAAATAGTTTACAACGAAACGTTACTTTTGGATTAAACATTGTTACAATATTAGTTTCAGTTTTTTTAAAAGATATTATTCTTACTGGAACACTCAACTATATTCCGGCTAGATTTTACACGTGACATCATCCGGGGTTAAAAAAAAATTATTAGTTACTGTGTTCTTCCAGGAAATATTCTACAACTCAACCATTATCTGTGAGGCTGTTTTAGATATACCTTATAACAAATATCAATCCATACAAAATTTTGCTGTTATAACAATAAGATAGGAATCAGTACAAATTATTTCCCTTTTCTAAGGGTAACGTACCACGTTTACTACTACTCAGCCATATGACGCCCACTGCTGGGCATATGCCTCCCCCAACAATAGCCACGATGGTCGGTTCTGTGCCTCCCTCATCTAGGATACTCCCGCAACCTTGACCAGATCAATTGTCCATCTTGCGGGAGGCCTACCCACGCTGCGTCGACCTATCCCTTGGCCGTCACGACTTTGTGGCCCCATAATTACTACTACTATATAACTAAACTAAGGGTCGTCATTAAGTCAGTCAACATTAGGGATCTTAAATTACAATTAACTAGGACTAACTCTATCTTTAGTAAATCTAACAATGACTAGTTTGCCCTATGATTTATCTATAGTACTGAAGTAGACGGGAAATTGTCTGGATTTATCGAAGATAGTTCTAAGAACAGATATAGACACGTACCTAGTACAGTTCTACGCTTAAGTTTGCACTTTTGAAGCTTTTACTGTAATTTAGACTTTATTGCAATGAAATAAGGTTTATTTGATTTGGCTTGAGTATAGTCCTTAAGATTGTGTGTAAGAGGTTTGGTTGGAATTTAGACTTTATTACTATGAAATAGAGTTGTAGTGTGCGGGTAGTTATAAATTTGCGGTTCATTGTACAAGACGAGTTTAGCTTTCACTTTCGCTATCGGATGCTCGGAATACGGTTATTATGTCCCCGACTGAACAGTATTCTTCATGTTCTCAACCCGTATTGTATGCAATTTAACTTATTTGTTTTACTTTAAGTTGCATACTTGTTGTAGAAAAATGCTCGGACAGTGTTTGCTCAGTTTAATATCGCTACTTTGTTAAAAGTCTATTTATATTTAGATTTATTTAAGCACAGATGTAGATTTTAGTCTGGAAGAATACATAAACTGATTTTTTTTAATTCCGCGCAAGTAAATCTTATTTTAAATTAAATGTTAAATAATAAAATTTAAGCCGAAGTCGCACCAGTTTATGGTTTCTCTAAAAGTTTGTCATTCGTGCAATTCTCACTTTTGACACAGTTATACCCCAAAGTCTCCAGTTCCACCGCTAGAGGGCGTAACTTAGCTCCCAGACCGAAACCGTTCCAGATAAAATATAACCTTAAATTCTACTAAATTTTATATTCAGACAACGAAAAACTTTAAAAGTTCCACTACCATAACTTCATCAAAGCTTTTATTTTATCTTAAATGTGGGTAAAAAATTTTATCATCACAAAAAATAAAATACAGGGTTAATTTCGCAATGGGGATCTATTTTTGTGAAGTATGTTTTACTAGCTTTCGCCTCCTACTCCGTCCGCGTGGAATTAAAACAAATAAAAGCAAGTAGCCTATGTGTTCTTGCAGACTATACACTACATCTGTGCCAAATTTCATCGGGATCCGTTCGGGCGTTTAGGCTACAAACTCTAACAAACATCCATCCCTCCATCTAAACTTTCGCGATTATAACATCAGTAAGAAGTAAAATTCTACTGTATGATTTTCGTAAAAAGTTAGTTGTATTTATGTAAAATTTTTATTATTAACTTTACTACAGTTGTTTGAAAGTGGTCTTGTCCACTTTATCCTTTCCCAAAAGTTTCACTTAAAAATACCCCTTAACAGAAAGTTAAAAACTTACAATAACTTTAGGACGGACGGCGACCGTACTTAAAGTTATTGAAGTTGAAGCCGACAGTTGCGGAGCTGCGGCGACTGTAACAAGCCCTTTGACGCTCACCCAACCGGAAAACTTTACATTTCCATTGAGTAATATTTAAATTTATATATTTTTAAACTGATATAATAAAAGCGTAAACTCAGATATTCATGTCTGTATGGTAGTCCTTTCCCTTTCAAGATTAGCCAAAATACCATTTTCCTCGCTCCAAGTGAACAAAGAGAGAAGAATGTTTTTTTTCGCTAGTGAAAACTAACCTTTAATAGAGTTTGACAACAATGAAAACTAACCCAATGTGAGACACTGGTATTGCGGTTTCTCCTTTCAGTAAAAACGTAAAACCCTACATGTACATAAGCAATAACAACTACAGTACGAAAAGGATCTTGTAACACTTTTTTGACATTGACAGAAGGTCCGCTATAGTTCTACAAGGATCATATGTCAGGTGGCAATTATGTAAACTAAAATGTCAGAATGAAAGCGTCATATTTTGAACCAATGAGAGAACGGCAAACGCACAAGTGGATTTTTGTAATTACGAAAAAAAAATGGATTATGGTTTTCCATAATTTACTTTATAAGGTATCCTTGTCGGTCTGTAATAGTTATTGTGTATGTAGTTCAGTGCGCACGCGCAGGCCGCGTGATGACACGTGTATGTGACACAATTGCAACACTGCCAATGCAAACGCATGACTAGACAATTATTATGTGTTAATGATCGACCATGCCACCTCAATTGTAACAGTTATTAAAATATGACTTAGTATAAAATTTACATATGCGCAAAATTAGAATAATTTTTTAGCTAAATATATTGTTTCATTCTTTATCAAAATTATTGTTGTTAAATTTCGAATATGCTAGACATATTTTTGCATATTAATTTGACCTAGTTTGTTTCGACATAACCACAAAATGTATTATTTGATTGGAATTTTAATCCGATATATTTGGTAAACCAATTCGATAACAGATCTCTGCAAACCGCTAACACACAATAAAATGATTTAAATCGTATAATATTAAAACTGTAAATATCTCAGATTCTTATCAAATCCACTCTAAGTGAGTTAAAAATAGCTGCTGTTAAACGTATTTCATTCATACTTTTCTTTATAATAAGGTAAAATTTCAAGACATCTAATTACATGGTGATCGTAAAATGGTTATCGCAACATCGCCCTCCCAACTAATAGCAAGCAGGTGAGTCAGTTATTACTCAGTAGGAATTGACTCATACTGTATAATAAAGTCATGTTCAAGCTGGTATACACAAGCCAGTAGCTAGCACTGGTACTTACATGCTAGCTAGCTAGCACGTGCCAAATTGGGATGTACGTAACTAAAATGCATAGCACGATATTGCATTTAAAGACAGGTACGAGAATTCAAGTTCAGGTCATGTGAGGTCATTAAGTCAATTTCGTTTATAAACAAACCCTGAAGAATTGTAGAAGAAAACTTGTCCAGATTAATTTATTTTATTGTAGTTCTAGCACGTAATACTGACAAGATCACAGATATTGTGCAAGAATATGTATGCGAAACACTAACATTTAACTAGACAGGAATACTAAACGACAAAGGGTCAGCAAAGGACGACCCGTGCTATTTGCACATTAAAACGTTAGGTAACGATTATTGATTAAATAACTATGTCGTTTCACTATTCGGCTTAAGTTGCAAGTAGAGTTCGTTGGAACTAAAGTTGTAAACCATTTATGTGTTTATACAAGCCCTTTTATTGCCTTTGCAACTTCAAAGGGTTTAGAACATTTGTACATTGTATGTCTTCGACCCCCCCGGTTTGTAGCACGTAAATAGACATTTCCCTCACCTTGTTCACTACGACGCCTGTCGCCTGTCGCCTGTCGCCTGTCACTTGTTGCCTGTTGCTTGTCACCTCGCATTTTCACACCATCGCAAGCAGGTATCGAATCGCGTTCATCGATGTGACGTTTCTAATTTACATGTAAATCGCTCGCTTTCGTAATCCGCTTTCGCGTCGACTATCTAATTTGTATATAATATAAGCTTTAATCGGGAACTACATTCATATAACAGTAAAGCTAGATAATTAAATAGATAAATAGTGTAATCGAGATAACTTAAAGGTAGACGGGTAACGGATTTTATGTAATCCAAAGTTGGATGTATAAATTATTTTATTCACCAGTCAACAATATAGTTCTCTTGCTTTTTTACGTTAATAAACATAAACCCATCTCCTGTTTTTATTCAACGTTAGCTTCCGTTGATAAGGATCTCTGTCCGATATCAGTAATAAATGACACACCACAAATATATGTTGGAGAATTTTCATTCTTTTTATTTTTCCTGTCAATTTAAACACGTAATATTTATTTTCGATTTCGATTTTCTTTGTTTTGTATGTAATTTGTGTGTATGTTTGTTGCAGGCCGGGGCAGTCGGAGCACGGGCACGCGGGCGGTGCGGGCTACGGCAAACCGGCGGGCGTGCAGCCCCGCGCGCCACCCGCACCCTACGCGCAACCCTACCAGCCGCCCCTGCGACTGCACAACCCCGGATACGGCTCCGCTCCACTCTCATACAGGTAACATGTTAAGCCTTTCTAGACTTAGGTGGTAACAAACTTCCAAAAATCAATTTTATTGCATGAAAATAGACACCATGCCAGGCTAAATCTTGAATTTTTGGTAGAAAATGGCGTCAATTTTTAAGTAGTTTAAATAAGATTGAAATCGTTGACATGTGAACTTGCTTGTAGATTATGAATTGTATGAACAAATGGCATTGTTGCTTTGGGAGTTTGCGAATTGTGCAAATGCTACCCTACCTATTATAACTCACAATTACTTCCAAAACAATAAGATATAAACTCTGTGTAGATTAAAATCTGGATCAACGTTGAATTAAATGAAACTTCAAGGTGTTGTGAAATTTTTCAAAATACAATAGATTTTACGAATAAATTGTTGCCTAATTTTTTTAAAAACATTTGTTTCAAATTATTTTTCTTTTGACCCTAAAATCGTCCGTTTACCATAATCCTCGCTCCATATAAATTCGAGTGTTTTTGCATCCGTTAAGAAAGTTTGACCATTAATACTAAGTCATTTCAAGTTCTCGAAACTTCTACAGAACTTTCTGCAAACTCCCAACTAAACCATTAATATTTCCTAAAGTTTGTTTTAAACAAAGAATTATAATTTCGAAAAACTTTTCTAAATGAATAAAAAACTGTCAACTAAATTTTACGAAGTTTTTTACTTTTGGAAGAGTCTAGAAAACTTAAAAAACTATAGTTCTTATAACGGAATCAATGACAAATCTGTCTAAAGAAACACTGCACCTGTTTGGATGAATGACCGCTAACGGGATTTTCAATTCCGGGCTTAGAAAAAGAAATCCAAGGAGTTTTTCTGCTGATTGCAAGAATAGATTTACCTACAGATAAATGATTAAATTCTCTTCTCAGCTAGGATTAAAAGCAAATTATAACTAGAAGGGTCTGTCTCACCAAATTGCAAACTGTCTGATAACAATCCAAAGTGTAAATTATGATGGAAATATCGGATTTTGTTCCCTTATGACAGTGACGTCATTTTTAAGCTATCTGAGCCCAGTTATAAATTGTCATGTATTTATGTTGCCACAAGATTCAAACATAATTACAATTTCTGATTACATTTAATCGAAATGGGTAGGAAATTATTGTCTCCCACTGTTACAGAAAATTTAAACTTTGCGTATAGATGAAAATACAGTGCTGCAACATTATAAAGCAACACATTGTGAAGTTATTGATGATTGTGATACAAATAGAATTCTGGCAATGTAACAAATGCCGAGATCGATACCGACCCACTTTCATTATCGCCCTCACAAAAACTTCCATTACTATTGTTCCATTCAATAATACAATACACATAACAATGACTAAAACGTACGTAGGTATATTATATAATTATGTAAAGCATTTGTATTATTTGCATATAATTGTTGACTTTAAACAATTAGTAGACTCTACCATCGGTAGATTATAAATATCTTTATTTTATGTCTACACTATCTTTCCGCGTGGAATAAAAATAAGGAAGGCAGTAGCTTATGTGTTCTGTCTGACTATCATGTATACCAAATTTCATCGTAATCCATTCAGCGTTTTAAGCTACAAACTCTAACAAACATCCATCTATCTAAACTTTCGCATTTATAATATTAGTAAGATTACAGAGCAAGAAATACAGTTTATTTACTATTTAATTTTATCTATAAAAAAAATCTCTTTAATATGCCTAACTGTTCAGCCTCGCTTTAATTTCTATGTGCTTATATGGAGAACAGTACTCGATTTTTAGTTGTGTAACTAAACAGTTGAATTGGCTGCGAAACAATCGACAATCGGACAACGGTTTTGCGATTGTCGAGGTTAGTCAAATTAGCTTTTAATATCGCTAGCGAATTACACGAAATTATAATACAAATTGTATCCTTACATTCCGATAATAAAACTAAAAGTCTCCGTATAAATAAAAACGTATTTTCCAAATAGACTTACGTAAGAGTTTGCGTAAAGTTATCCTTGACTCGACCTAGACACGAATCAAGGACGTTCTGCGCCTCCGCTCTGTTTGTATAGAACGTTACAATACAATCGAGATCGACGCTGTGTATTTTTAAAATTATAAAAATACACAAAAGTTTATATACGAATAGGTTTTTTAAACAAATGTAACATTGAAATCTCGAACATAACATAAACAATGTTTTTAATGTAAACGTTTAAGTGTTTAAAATGCGCCATAAAATTCAGATGTTTTAAATAATTTATACTCGTAATTAACTTAATAAACTCGATTAAGGGTCTGTCCCACCAACGTGTAAAATATGTGATGGAAATATCGGATTTTATCTTATGACAGTGACGTCTGAGCCTCTGTCAGCGGTAGGACAGTTCTTAGTAAATTATTTTATAACTCATTAGGCGTCTAATAAATAATAACTCATTTATATAACTGGTAAAGCGTTTATATTATTATTATTATAGTGACTGCTCGGCTCATTCAAAGAATAATTTCCTATGTTCAATTGCATTTGATGCCTAGAGCTCAGTGGTTAGTTATCTAGACAAAGTTTTAGGTTCTTAGCAATGTTGTTAAAACATAACGTTGGGCATAAGTGAATTTAATTATTTAATACATTTAGATCTTTGGAATGATTCCAAAGGTAGATTTTTGTTTTTATTGTAACAGACATCTTTAAGACATTCCAAATGCTTTATGCGTAATACAAGAATAACTTTTGGCACCAGTATTACCTTTGACACAATTTTATATGCATTTTGTACATTTTACTATTGCGTTATTACTTTTATTGGATTAAAAAGGATTTTAAATGTTAAATACTTGTTAACGGACGAAGGACGAACTGCCCCCATTATAAAAGCAATTGTCGAATTCTTCTATTCATTAAGCACGTCTAGCTTTACTCTGCTTTTATTTTAAAAGTAAATTCTAGCTTTATTTGCACTATAATTTGTCTGGAACCGCAGTAAGCAGCACTAATGCTTCCATTTATATACGCCCGTAGTTCCGACCTCATACTCCCCGTGCCAAAGCACATACCCTTGCGTTGGTCTTTATAAAAATTTACATAAACTCTTGGCCGACAGCCAAACGGGCCGCAGTTATGAAAGGATCGTACGAAAATAGTGCATTGAAAAGACGTAAAAATGCATTCATACAACGGGGACTTTAACTTTTTACGTAAAACAAAGGATAACATCTAAAATTGTCTGTGTGCTCGCTTAGTGAGTGTAAATATTTAAGTCGGTATGTGTTAATTTAAAACGTGTGACAGTCATTTTTACTTAGTCCTTTTCTACATAGTCAAAGATTGTGTAATAGCATGTAAAAATAGACGTTTCAAATAACTTTAAATAACTAAAACGATGCATTTTAACGTGGGCGAAGCTCCGGACGCACTGACATTGCTGAGGATAGTCTTGATTTACTGTAAAAATACATAAATATCCAATAGTTTATTCATCAATGTATTTACGAGCGTCCTGTTCTATTATATTTAACTTTGATGTATGCTGAGGAATGTAGCTGTTTATATTTAAATTTGTGTTGCGCGTCTTTATGTCTCGCCAAATGTGGACATCATAGAATGTAGTATAATCCAAGTAAGAAAGCAACAGCAAACACAAATTCTAATAGGCTGTCATTATGTGTTAATTTAAACTATTATATGTTACTACTTTACGTGATAATATTCAATGTACAAAAGGATAAAGTAAAAACTCAAGATTATACAAGGTGAACGACATTTTAATTACATTATAAAAACATGGAAATATAAAAGGCGCAGAGCAATGCGTGACCCATGCGGAGAGGCATTAAAATAATTCCGCCACGTGTTGTGGCAGCGCTTTCGCGTTCAATAATAAAAATAAAGTTTGTGAGTTCGTGGCGCGCTAAGCTCCCCCCGCCGGGAGGGGGAGACAACCTTGGCCTTCCCCCCGCGCTCTCCCCGCACACGTCCCGCGCCCCGCCAAACGTCAATCTGACAGATCGAGTCCCGCGTTTTCGGGAAGCGTTCCTGTTATCGGCCAGTGTTTGTAGGTTACACTACGTGCGTAGCGTAACCGTATTCACTAATAAAGGGCCGTTGTTAGTTCAAAAACGTGAATGTCCTTTAGTTTAGATGTTTTAAGATTTTAGAAGAGTATTGTAATGATTTAAATAAATGTCTATGAAGGCTTTGTACGCTTCTATAAGAGTACAAGAGTACGGTTATAGTTTATAAATCTATGTTTGTAGAAAGGATTGAATAAACTCCTCCATTCTAAATTATTGTTAAACGAAATGTGCTAATGGTAGAGATTTTTCATGTCGGGATTTATTGTAATTTATGATTATCGTATTATTTATTGCGAACCTTAAGTGCTGGAAATGTTTTAGGCCCATTTCTCTGAAATAACTTATGCAGAATTAGTTTTCTTTGTTGAGGATATATCATTATTTACAAGTTTTTTTTATTCTGATAATGTTATTAGTACTTTATTAATTTATTTAAATTATGTAGCAAATATCAAAAGTAATCGACGTATCTTGATTCAATTGTTTTAACATTTTATTAGGTTGTTATCGAAAAACAACAAATTGCAGCATACAAGGTTCCATTTTTTACTCCAGTTGTAGTATAAAAATTAAAGTTTATAAGTTTTTTTATCATTTTGCCAGTGACTGCTTTCTTAACTGTCACTTATATATATGCGAGGTTGCGACCACCGTACGGGAATTGAATCTGGCTTAATTAATGTCACATGTGACACGCGGAAAGGTTAATATCACTCGTATACTTAGTGAGAGCTAAGGAATGTCGCTTTAAATTGACCTTTTTGCGATCGACTTTTAATTTTTAACATTTAAAAAATGTTAAGTCGAACACAGCATATACGGAATACTGCTCCTTATATTTGAGACTTGTATCTTCTTTCTTTCTCTTTCGGGCGCATACTTTTGACTAAAAAATACCACTACTATTATGCGGTTGCCGATTGTTTCGCAGCCAATTCAACTGTCTAGTTGCATAACTAAAAATATAAGCTCATAGGAATCAACGCGCGACTAAAAAGTTGTGCGATAGTTTGGGGACAACTCACTCTTCACTGTAAGGGTGCTTACAGTGAAGAGTGAGTTGTCATACGATTCGTCTTCTTTCCCCAAGCGTTAGGTTGAGTCGAAATTTTTATTTATGTATAATTTTGTGTATGTTCCAGAGATGGCGGCTACGGGCGCAACGATTACCGCGGGGGCGGCGGCGGGGGGCGCGTGTCGCTGCTGGGGGGTGCGTACCTGCCGCCGCCCGCGCCGCCGCTGCACCACCCCCCGCCCGCAGACCCGCCGCCCTTCAAGAAGATCCGCCTCAGTGCAGAGCGACCCGCAGCGCACCACCCCCAGCTGCGAGTCGATACCAGGGTTAGTTCTACTTTAGTATATTGGTACAACAAACACGAATGTGACCTACAATCGCCCATATAGAGGTAACCTCCCCCTGGCGTAAACCTTATAATGACTAGTTCTTTCACCATAATAACAAACTTAACTTGTTGCTCGCGATTCCGTCCGCGTGGAAATAAAAAAAAAGTAAAAATCGTTGCCTATGTTACTCAGTGATAACGTAACTTTTTAATGGTGAAAGATTTTATAAATCCGCCCTGTAGTTTTCGAGTTATTCCAATACATCGAAAATCCAAAAGTACAAATCTTTCCTCTTTATATAATAGTATAGATATACTTGTCAACAAAATTTGTTATTTCCAGAGTTAACTCTTTAGTACCAGTTTAAATTTTAACTGTAAAACTCTGTTCTTTCCAGGAGTCGGTGTATAACATCGTGGAGGTGCTGTCACCGAACCCGCCGTCGGAGCCCACGTTAGAGGACCACAACTTCCGCACCACCAAAGATGACCTGCTGCAGCAGATATCGAAGGTATACCATACAATTGTCGTTATAGAGAACACGCATCTGACTATGATCCTATAAGTCGAAATATAGCTTGGGCAAATTTTAATCTGTTGGTGATATTAGCGCTATTCATAACTGATTGAGAGATTAATTATTATAACCTTGGTAAAAGTATTTTATTAATAATTAACATGAAAATAAATATGCACGTAATTAACTTCAAGAAACCCCTCACATAACGTAATCTTCAAAGACGTAAATTACAAAGACCATCATCATCATCCTCTTATTCTACTCCCATAGGGTCGGTGTATCAGATTTTTGTCCTCCAAATAACTATCATACGTCATCTCAGTCATCACTCCCTTTTTTTTTTTACAAAATTACAATGATCGTCTAAAGCAAATCGCTTCCTAACCTTAACTTGTTAAAGGAACACTTGTATGTATATTATTAATGTTTGCAAATGCTACTTAATAAGTGACATACATTAAAAAAAGCTTTTTTGAGTTACTTTATTCACTCTTCTGATTTATACTTTAATATTTACTAGAATAAAAAAACCATTTACCCATATTTCACCTTAAACAGACTACTGCCTGGGAACCAATATGTTAGACCGATATAAGTTTTCTTAAACTAAGGGGACTTACACACGATGTAACATGAACTTCCTTTCAGGTGGACCGCGAGATGGCGCTGTCGGAGGCCACGCTGCAGAACTTAAAGAAGAAGGCGGCGGAGCTGGAGCTGGCTGCCACGAGACCCTCGCGCCCAGCGGAGCCCGAGGAAGCCCCTTCACGGCATCGCAGCCTCGCACAGTGTATATATGCTGATAACAGGAAAAAGGTACGTTATACTCTGTTCTTAACTTATAACTGCACTTAGAAGTTATTAAGCACACTAAATGAAATCGAAGCGAGTCTATTTGAGAATTTATACTGTTTGTAGATGATTTATGAATGTTTCGTAGATTTGTAATCGTTTTACTGATCTCAAAGTCAATAACAGAGGTAAAAGATACCAAATACATTGGTATACCCTCCGGCATTTCTCGTTTTATTCTCTTTTATTTTTCTGTACTAATATTATGGCGAAAGTTTGAATGTATGAATGTTACTATCTTTAAAATGTCTTAAATGAATCTTGATGAGGTTTGTCACAGTTGTAAAACATAGTCTGAACCAACAAATAGGCTTCAAGTAAAGCTAGTATTTTAAATATGCAGAACATAATCAAAACATACATTTAACCTACGAAAAGGATAATAAAAACAAATGTAACATATCTATAAGTAATTAGAAATGTAGAAAGTGGTAGAGGGGGCGCATTTGGGTGGTAAGGGGGATCAGGGGGGACATCTAACAGCAGTTGTTTGCAGGCGAGCGCGGCGCACGCCTCGCTGGCACACCTCGGACCCACCATCTCCTTCCCGCTGTACAACCAGCCCCAGGACACGGAGGTCTACCATGAGAACCTACGGAAACACCGCACCTTCAGGAAACGACTCTCGGAACACATACGAAGGATAAAAGAAGAGGCGGAAAAGGTAATTGACTTAACTTGATTTGGCTTCATCGCCTAATATAAATTGTTCAATATTCGACCCATGGTTAGAGTCACATTATGCTATGATTCAGAACTCTTTTAAAAATGACTTCTTAAAAATGTCTAGCTTTGGAGTTCACAAACGAAAGATTGACTTTTTAATTTTTAATTTTTATAGAAAATTAGAACCAAAATGGGCCGAAAGATGGCGTTTCTTTCAATTTGTGTTACCGCCATCTAGTGGTGTACGGAGTAATTTCGCATGAAAATGCTGAAAGTTTTCCACGGAACTTATAGGGTAGAAAGTGCAATGTTATGAGTTTCAGAATAGACATTTGCGAAAGCATTGATCAATAATGAAACACTTTGGTGTTATTGTTATATTACACACTGACTTCTAGGAGATAGTAAGACAAAGTACAGATTATTATGTTTTGCAGAAAGAAGACGCATTAGCAGAGGAATACAGCCGGCGAGCAGCGGATTGGATGCGGCGAGTGGAGAGGATAGAGCAAAGTCAAAAGAGGAAGGCAAAAGACGCGAGGAACAGGGAATTCTTTGAGAAGGTATGCAAATGTTTTTTTTGTAAAGCAACGTTGCGGGAACACTAACGATCGACAATAGAAACTAGAACTTTGTTGGCATTTATAATAGTACTAGCTTATGCCCGCGACTCCATCCGCGTGTAAATAAAAAAAACGAAAGTGAGTATGTGTTCTTCCAGACTATCCTCTACAACTATACCAAATTTCATCGAAATCCATTGAGATATTTAGTCTACAAACACTAACAAACATCCATCCGATCATCTAAACTTTCACATTTATAATATACTGGCTTTCGCCCGCGACTCCATCCGCGTGGAAGGAAAAAAAACAAAACTGAGTAGACTATCTGTTCTTTATGACTATCCTCTACGTCTATGCCAAATTTCATCGAAATCCGTTCAGCTGTTTAGGCTACAAACTCTAACAAACATCTATTTCAGTATGTTACAAAGTACTCTGTGCATCTATCTATCTAAACTTTCGCATTTATAATATTAGTATTATGAAGTATGACATACGCTTAGTTCTGACAGTTTTTCTGAAGAGTTTCTGTACGGCTGTAAGCAAAATAAGTGTCAATTGAACTGTACAGTAAATTTTTGGCCTACACACAATTTTGACTGATCAGTTCGACTCTAATCAAAACTGTCATAATTGTACATAGGTTAAATAGTAGGAGGTTTATGCTACTTCACTTCGATTATTAACTTTGGATAAATCCTTCTAGTTAAAACAAAGATAGCAATTTGGAAAAAAAATGTTATTCAACGGTTATCTTTGGAATCTATCTGAATACAAATCTATGAGACTATTGTCTGTCAATTTAGTGGTAATACAGAACAATGTGTATTATGTATTCATCTAGTGATATTCTGTCTGATTAAATATTTCGATTTTAACTAAATTTAACATACAATGAGTAATATTTAACATTCCGAGAACTGTTTATAATCTGTTCTTATATTTATTAAGTTAACAGTAAAGAAGATATTGTGTAATCAATACTTGAATAAAGGATTATGTTATTTATTAGATTTTAGTATTATATACTAAAGAATGAATTAAAAAACCTCGACCAATTTTAGCCCAATTTTAGCAACTAACAATTTAAACAACTATTATTAAACAATTAATTAAATAAACCTTATAACATCTTAGACTATTTAAAGTACTAGTTTCTTTCCATACAAAGACAATATTATTTTTGGCAAAGGCAACACGAAACAAGTAAATGTGTAGGAACGGGAAATCTTTCTATGTATCCTCTTCTCCGTCGATTAAAGTAAGCAACGCATCTACAATTGAAGCTATCTATGGGTTGCGTTTCGCTGTTACAGCGAATAGTTGCTGGTTTGCCACCATATGCTAATATAAAAAGATATTGTTTCCTTTACAGTTTCTCATATTTATTTCTTGTTCAGGTGTTCCCGGAGCTCCGCAAGCAGCGCGAGGAGCGGGAGAGGTTCAACCGGCTGGGGGCGCGCGTCAAGTCCGAGGCCGAGCTGGAGGAGATCGCGGACGGGCTGCACGAGCAGGAGCACGAGGACAAGAAGATGCGCTCCCTCACCGTGGTGCCGCCGCTCATGAGGGAACCCGGCACACCCACGATACTCACCAACAGTAAGAAATATTTTTTGTGTAATATACTGAAGAAAATATGCTAAGTGTGTCTGTATTATCACTATTTCTACAAAGTTTTATTTTTGACTTTCTTTCGCCTGCGATTTCGTCCGTGTGTTATTAAAAACACAAAAGCGAATAGCCTCTGTGTTCTGCCAAACTATCCTCTACATATATACTAAATTTTATCATAATCCGTTCAGCCCTTTAGGCTACAAATTCTAACAAACATTCATCGAAACTTGCACATTTATAATATTAGTTAAATGACTGCTATGGATGTAAAAATGCAGTAGAAATTACATAATTTTTAATGTCAATTCTACGACTTGAGTCCCACCAATTCTCTTAGCGTGTTTACTTTCATAAAAAAGCCTATAGCCTTATAGAAACTGCGAAGCAGGAATAATTGTCACATTCAGTCATAAAACACAAAAGGAAACCCTTAGTGTACATTTCTCCAAGTTAGGAGAATCACATGAAGTGTGCAGTTTATCAAGTTCTTTGTACATCAGTGCGGTGCATGGACATGGAGACTGAGCACAAGGAGCTGCAGCTGCGCAACGTGTGGTCTCCGGCGGAGCGGGACCTCTTCCGCGAGAAGTACCTCCAGCATCCCAAGAACTTCGGACAGATAGCCTCGTTCCTGCCGAGGAAGACTGTCAAAGACTGTGTCCGGTAAGTGTTACTCTCAAAACATATGTATTAAATTATGTAAAATGTTTTTGCTTGTGCGGCAAGGAATTAAAAAAAAATAGTAGGCTGTCTTCGAGACTGTGTTCTACATATCTGCCAAACTTGAAATTTGTTCAGCTTTTCTGTACATATAGATACAAAAAGAAACTTTTAAAGTTGTAATATTAGTAAGAAAGGTATGAAATGAGGTGGAAAAGAGGTTTCTAAGAAAATTTTATTAGTATTACTCTCAGTATTATTATTTACAATACAAAATGCTATTCAATAAATCGATTCTCGATTTGACTTTAATTTTTTTTAGTTAGACACATGAAATAATTCATCTATAGGTTTTTAAAATAAAACGTTTTTGGTAGTATTACAGAAGGAAAGAGACAGAAATATGTTTTACAACTTTTCAACAGTGGGAAGTTTTATGTACTAAAAATCTTCAATAAAATTAGTTATACTGGATTGCTGAAGATTTCATTTATTTTATCATAATCTAGTAACTTATTATTGTTAGGTTACCTATGTTTCGAGGGAGTATAAGTCATTTACGTATTTCGGAAACGAATATCATGAAGTAAAAAACCAAAAACACTAACTAGTAGCTGGGAAATTAATAGTTTACATTGTATGAAGATATTGCCATAATAATAAAATTCATATGTAAAGAAAAAACCTATATTTGAGTGTGAATTTTCCATGGCATATGTACATAGGTGTGTATTGTGGAGTTATTGTCTGTAGAGGTGTGCTTGGCGCAGGTTCTACTACCTGTCGAAGAAGGCGAAGAACTACAAGCAGCTGCTGCGCAAGCCGCGCCAGCGCCGCTCCACGCGCAACCCCCCGCGCACCGCCCCCGAGCCAGAGATGCCCTCCGGCGTGCTCACCCGCCTGCAGCGCTCGCAGGGTCACTATCACCTAAATCTCATCATCATCATCTCCCCCATCTGATCCAATTCCTGTAAATCAGCACCAGGTTTAATCTCAGACATCACTCCCTTGATCATGTCACCTTTCACGCAATACATCTATTTCTAGACCTCTACCGGAGTACCTCCGCACAGCAAAGTTCTTGTTACATGCGATTCATCCATAAAAAAATTGTCCCCATGCTAACCTTTTACTCCTTATCTTCTCTACCACTGGGGCTATTCTCAAATTCCTCTAATATACACATTCCGTATCTTATATTTTTTATAAAGCCCTAATCAAAAAGTACAAAATCATTTTAACTATAACAAAATAGAATTAACCAATTCTAGTATTTGGTATGTCGAAAAATACACGTATTTTGACACCAGCAATAAAAGGTTCATTTTTCTTACCGCAAAGTGTTAGAATCAAAACATATACTGTATTTTTAATTAGAAATATTACTTCTAAAGCTACAAATTGACCCGACATATCTCCATACAGGAACATCAGCTCGAGCGACAGATTCGAAGGAGGCGTGCGTAGAGGAGATGACTCCAGAGCAGCTGAACATGATCCCGGTGCCCCCGCAGCCGGAGCCCTTACACCTGGGCCAGCTGGGGCCGGAGGGCGAGCTGCAGTTGCAGGACATGCAGGACATGCACATGCATGCAATGCACGCTCCCATGCTGGACATGCAGTGCTCCGACCCCATGATGGGGGAGCAGATGAACATGCAGGGTATGAATATGCAGGGCATGCATATGCAGAGCTTGCAGTCGATTCAATCCCCGCCATCGCCACAATCAATACAATTATTACAACCCAGTCATCCAGCGAGGTAAGTCCCATTATTACTTTATTATATGGATTACTAGATTCCGCCCGCGACTCCGTCTGTGTGGAATTAAAAAATAAACAAATAGGTTGTGTTCTTCCAGACTATGCTTTACATCAATGTCTAATTTCATCAAGAGTTTGTAGCCTAAACTGTAACAAACATCCATCCATCCAAAGTTTCGCATTTAATTATAAACATTAATTATTACTAATATCAATTAATAAGATAGCTAATTTTCAATATTAATTACCATTCAATGTAAAAATATTTATTTTACTTACATGGAAGACAAAATAGTAATAAACGACATCAAAAATAACTTTGATAGCATCAAAACGTTATACAAAATGATAAAGAAATCAATAAAAATCTGTAACACAAATCAAATATAAATTCACTCATAAATATTAATACAAATAAGTCAATAATATCGAAATGCTACACCGATAGGGGGGAGGGATGGGGGGTTAACAAACATGTTATGTCGAGTCTTGCTGCGGAGTCTCGCGAGCTTTTTAATTACGCCAAGTCAACACAAGATATGAATTATTCACCCATAGTAGAATTCACTGCTTAGGGTTCCGCATTTATATAATACTTTCTTCCGCGACTCCATCCGCGTGGAAAAAAAAAATAAAAAAATCATAGCCTATGTCACTCACATATAAATTACCATTCTAATGATGCAAGAATTTTTAAAATCGGCCCAGTAGTTAATAAGTTATTTCAATACATACAAAAGTCAAAAATACAAATCATTCCTCTTTATAATATTAGTATAGAAGTATAGACTAGCTTTGGTCTGCGACAGTCTGTGCGGAATTAAAAAGAAATTAAAAAAAAAACTCATAGATCTGTTCTGTAGTTTAGTATACAAACTCTAAAAAACATCCATCCAAACTTTCATATTAATTCATTCATTAAATTCGGGTAGGAATGTATCACAATTTGTTGTGTTTATATATCAATTAAAATTGAACAATATTTACTATTTTGCATACGGTTTTTCCAAGATTCTCTCTTACTTTAGATTTAATACAAAAAATATGTTAAGCGACTGTTCAATTAATTGATTTTTTATTAATTAAAAATTACAGTTTAAAAAACTACAGAACCCTTTTATTAAAAACGTTTAATTTTTAGTCGCGGACTTGATGGCGGGTAGTTTTATCTTGTTTGCATTGCCGGTTGTATGTCTTTGAATGGATAAGAAATCGCGTTACGTTCTTATTCTCTCGAGTCTAGAATATTAAAATTCTCACTGTTTGCTCATTTAGGGAATGGAATGGAATGGAATTACATCTTTACAGGGTTTATTCAAGTTTTTTAACATTCGTCGTGTATAGCCAACTATTTAAAATAATTTAATTCTGTAGAGCGTCGGTGGCTCAGTGGTTTAAGCACTTGACTTGTAATCTACAGGTCTTGGGTTCGAATCCCGCCGTACCAATGTGATTTTCGAATTTTCATACGTATATTTTAACCGACGTTCATACGGTGAAGGAAAACATCGTGATGCCTGCACATATCGGCGAAGAAATTCAAAGATATGTGTGAAGTCAACCAACCCGCAGTGGGCCAGCGTGGTTGACTATGGCCTAGTCACCCCTTACTTAGGGTAGGCTCTGAGCCTCTCGGTGAGGAAGTATAGTGAGCTGGTGATGACGATGATGATACAGTTTTATTCACCATTCTGTAACCTCTTTAGAGTATACTAATACTCACACGCTAGTGTTAAAGAATCCTTACTAATATTAAAAATTATTAGTGTTTGAATTTAACTCGTAGTTATAAAATCTCTCTCAATTTAATATTAACTTAGATTATTTCTGAAAAGTTTACCTCTTGATTTTTACATTATCCTTTTAAATTTGGTAACGTATTTTAAATCTAATCTTAATAAAATAACGTAAAGGCACGGTAACGGGTTATTTTCCGAGCAGAGCCGGGCCCCAGCACAACTTTGTTTGCCAGCCACTCGGCGTTATGACTTCACCTCCATTTTATATTCGCAGATTAATATTTTAATATTCACAACTTTTTATATTCCTTTCGTCTTTGTTGTATAAGAATCTGTCAATTTTATTGAAAGGAAATCTGCTTGATTTTAATACTTTTAAAGCTATGTCAAGAGATATTCTGTATTAGCATAAAGATTGAAATTTATAACTGAATTTATAATGGATCTGTCATATTTTTTATAATATAAGATGGCAAACGAGCAAGCGGCCACCTGAATCCACCGAAATGGAAATCGACCGCTACCCATAAACATCCGCAATTGCAGATGTGTTGCCTACCCTTGATTGGCTTTTCCCCTTTCTATGCGTCTCCGTCAAATCCACTTTTCCCTCCCATCCTTCCCTCTTAAGAAAAGGGTGGAAAGGAAAAGGGACTAAAATCAGGCCTCCGGCACCACACTCATCAGACGAAACGCGGAATTCCTTCCACTTCACGCCTGTCTTCTGTGTGGTCGTGGTATTACACCTTGCGAGCCGGGACATTCGAGCAAAGATGTTAAAGCGGTTTCTACCACTGTTCATTCCTTTGACTAAACTATCGCACAAGTGTTTAGTGTTGCTTTGATTCCTATGAACTTATATGGTTGTGCGCACACTACTCGGTTTGTAGTTGTGCAACTAAACATTGGGGCTGCGAAACAATCGACAATCGCACAACAGTTGTGCGATAGTTTTGGCAAATGTGGTCGCACGCTCTTACTCTTTACATAGTTATTGATCAAGGTATCGATATACGTCTTCAAACGAAAGAAATAGTACATCCCTATTATTATTTACATAGTAATATGTTAGAATGTTCATAGAAAGTAAATTACACTCTTTGATATTTTTATTGATCAGCGTTCTATTGAAATTAAATATAACGAATTTGGACCTCCGATATGAAGACATCCCTGGGGGTGTGCTGCGGAGTGCGGGATGGGGGAGGGGGCGAGCTGTGTACAGTTTATAAAGAAAATATAGAATAATAATGGCGCGATATTCGTGCGTGTGTTGACAATCACTCCCGTGATTATTTGCGCACGGATCCCGCGGGAATCATCCTGCCCTAGGGATGTCTCTTACGATATCGATAAAGTGAACATCAAATTAAACCCTAACAAGAAGACTATATAAAACCAGTATCAATCAATTGCAAAACATAAGTGTGTTTGATAACAACAATTGTTAATTTTTAAACAAAACCTTTACAAACGCGTAAAATTTGTCAAAACTTTGTTATTCGGTCACTAAAAAGTCTTAACTCTAAATGAAACACCAATTCAAAAACTTAAATATTCTTGAATATTTGGACCGATAAAAGAAATACAAAAAAGAACTGCATTTAATGGAAAACTAATGGGAATAATTTTATGTGAACTTTAATTTTTAAGACCTACTGAATTTCCCTTGATTTGCATTCTATCGATGTAAAGAACATCCCTATCCCTATCGACTCCTGGTGGCGGGGCTTGTTTAGATTTTTACGCAAACACCGCGCCGGCCCATCTTTCTAATTGCCTTAATTAAAAGCAACGATCGAGAGAGGAACACGGCTTTAACAAAAAAAAACTGTTGGTTTTTCCCGAAGCCAATAACTGTCTCTCGCCCACTTCATTTCCATTACGACGCTGTTTGTTTGATTGCTATTGATGATTTCTTATTTAATTAATAACTAAAATATTTTAAATAGTCGAAATAATGAAATAGAGCAGGCAAAAATTAAAAAAAAAACGAAAAATACTGAAAAAAACACTGTTTTTTTTTTCGATTTTGTGGGTCATGAATGTCTTGATGTTCAAAGAATTATTAAATTTATTTTGATATTAATAAAATAGAAAATAAAATAAAAAGCTTTTATTGATTTTTTTTACATTTCAATTTTAACGTTTTGACACTCTTTTTTTTCTATGTTTATTGCTAATATATATATATTTACATCTTTGGTTTTGTTTAAATTCAGTTTTCATTTAAAGGACCGCCTTGTGCGGGAAAAGCCTCCTCCATTAGTTGCCATCCTTCTGTCTCTAGCTAATCTACTCCAGGTTTTTCCTACTAAGCTCGTTATATCGTCGTCCCATCTCTTACCTTGCCCACCTCTTCTCTGTTTCTTGTGTATTGGATACCAATTTGTCACCGTTTTTGTCCATCTTTTGTCCTTCATCCTTTTGATATATTTTTTATTGTTTTAATATATAAGTGTACAGAAAGTTCACAAATGGTATTACTGACATTCTTGAATGAAAGGTTTTACGCTACTGTTTGCGACCAATGTGTAACATTGATCTATTTCATGTCGCCTCGCTTTAGATTTATTAGACATAGATTAAAAAAACGATAATTTTTCCACCAAAATTAATTAAAAGCGATATGCAAACAACAAAAGTAAAGTAACAAGTAGATTAAGCTAACACTAAATTCGCCGAAAAAAAAATCGGTACACATATTTTTTTTTTCAGTGTAACTAAATAAAAGTTGTTAAAACATAAATCGCTTGCAATCTGTGCTGGGGCAAACCCGCCCGTGTTTGCCCACCCCCGGCGATAACTACCCGGCTGGTTTTAATTGGCCCAATTTTAATGATGTACAAATACGCCGCCCGACTCTGTTTTACAAAGCCAGCGATCTAAAACAAGCTCGGCAGAGACGAACAAATTGTGAAAAAAATATATTAAACACTTGTGCTGCTGATTGCGGGCACTTTAATAAAGACCGTAATCGCAGTGAAAGTGTTAAAATTTTTAGTATTTGCAAAAATGATCAAAAAATTATTGCTCAATAACAAATTATTAAAATTAAGTATAATAATCTTTGCAATTAATTTAAAAAAAAATCTTTGAGGGCAGAAAAACATTGAAATTGAATTAAAAATTTAAATAAATCATAGTTTTAATTCAACGTCAGTGTATTGTTAATCAGCGAGTTAAATTGCAAACAAGTGAGTGCGCCGCGGGGGTTGCGGGGTGTGCGGGGCGCGCGGGGAGGGCTGCAGCCGCCCACGGTAAACATAATTAGCTCAATTCGCCACTCTTTTAATTATCCATCCATCCAACACGGCTCAGCCAACGCGACTTCAATATAACCTGGATGATGGTTGAATTATTTAAAAAAATTAACGTCAGTTCAAACAAATAAAATCTACATTATATTACGTCAATACTTATATCAGGGAAAGATTTGTTTTTTTTTTGCGTTTAAAGAAATAACCCAAAACCTACTGGGTCGGTTTTAAAAATTATTTCATCATTCAAGAGGTAATTTATCTGTGGGTAACATAGGTTTTTCGTAATTTTTTAATGATACACGGGCGAAGTTGGGAGCAACAGCTAGTATTACATTATTTTATAAAATAATTCTTCAACCAGGTTGTTAAGTATATAACTTAAATCTCTTTCCTACAGGCCAGAAATGAACCGGACGCCGCCCCTACCGCCGTCCCCTCCCCCAGCGTCCTCCGCGCCCTCAGCGCCACAGCCCTTCACCGCCACGAGCACAGCCGCCAGCACCAGCTCCACCACCACCAGCACAGGCACAAGCGTCAGTACAATCACCAGCACGAGTACCAGCACAAGTGCCGCACTCAGTACAGTCACGATCACCGTCACGCCGGTGGGTGAGACGCCGGGCAGTCCTGCGCCTGCCACCAGCGTGACAACTATCACGAGCACGTGCTCGAGCGTGACAAGCGCGCCCAGTCCCGTGCCCGACAGCCAACTGGTAGTGGAGATGTCGCTGGCATCAGTTCCATTACCCACCGTGGCGCCGGCTAGCACGCCACCCACATTCACAGCGACTGTCACCAGCGTGATTACCGTAAGTGTCTTTTACAGTCTCTTCCTCAGCTTTTCTTTTTTCAGTTATCTATTTCAGGGCTGTCCGAACTAGATAGAAAAAATGATGAAATACATAGGGTGGCCGCAAAATATTTGTAAATCGGTACATTGTTCATTAATGTTTATATTAACTAGCTTTTGCCCGCGTCTCCATCCGTGTGGAATTAAAAAAAATTATTAGTCTCAGTGTTCTTCCAGGACACTTTCTATATCTATGCTAAATATCTATATCCGGTCAGCCGTTTAGACTTCAAACTCTAACATCCATCTATCCCTTCATCTAAACTTTCACATTTATGATAGTATGATGTGAAAAGCAAAGATAAAAAACGATTTTGCTGTCCGTAACTATTCAAGCTCCTGACCATAGTTTGGACAGCCCTCATGTCTTTCATTCTCTCTATAAGATTAGACTTCCAATGTTACTAGTGACTATAAGCTTGTCTCTCGCAGACAACGTGTTCAGCGACCGCGTCCTGCCCGACCGCGGTGTCTTGCCCGACCGCGGCGTGCCCGGTGTCGTCGGGCAGCGCGCCGCCCACGCCGCAACCCGCGCAGCCGCCCACGCCCACGCAGCCCCCGCCCACGCCTGAACCGGGTCAGTACATTTTGAAAACTCTAAATGGTCGAAGGGAAGCGTTACAGGGGAGGAGATGTAAGGAAAGGGAAATTCTTATTCTGCACTTTTCAAGGTTTCCTTCACAATTTTATGTATAGTTATTTTAATGAATTATGTTAAACGTCTTTTATAGTATTTATGTGTATATTTATGTATTGTGTCGATCACTTAATCTCATTTCTGAATTGCACACAAAATATTGATAATTTTCGTATCGTTTACTGTTTAAATCGCTCCGATTAGCCACAAGTTACTCCTAGTAAGGAAATATAATAGAAGTTTTAATATTATTCTCATGGTTTATGTTTTCACCAATGGAAACTCGTAACTTAACCCTTTCAACACAACTTTTCTGAATAATTTAAAAATACTATTAACTTTTGTACTAACGTCATGTTTTTGACGTTATATGAAGTTGTTTCCCTTTTATCAAAGTTGAGTTAGCTAAGAAAGTTTCCGATCACACCACAGAACTTTTAAACATCGCAACATTTTAACCACATGTTTAATATTTAATTCAGTTTTCGATAAGTTTGGTTTTAAAAGTCGTTTTTGTATTTAGGTTAAAGTGAATTTATTTTCGAACCACTTTCCATTTTTAACACATGTAAAGAATTTCGCTCAAAAGTCACTTCACAATGAAATTAAACAAATTAAAATAATTAAACATTTATTTAACAATGACAATGGTATAATTAAATTAACCTAAAGCGGTAGTGACAAGGTCACGTGCTATCCGTCTAGTTGCGGCTGAGTGCCGGAGGTGGAGGGTTCTTCTTGATCCCTGTGCTCCTCCACCTCCTCCCCGTGGCAGCGCTTGCGGTGCTTGTGCACGAAGTAGTACGAGGGGAACTTGCAGCCGCAGGTCTTGCAGGGGTAGTAGTGCACGGGGGCGCGCGGCTTGCGGTGCCGGCACGCCCACTCGCGGCCCGCGCCCGCCTCCCGCCACGCGGTGTTCAGCACGCGACTGAACCTCACGGGGCCGTCGCAGGATGCCACATCCAGCACGGCTCCACTCGTCCGTCGAGGAGGCTCAGGAGCTTCGATACGTTCCACATCCAGCTCACTCGAAGTGGTGGAGCTAGGCGTAGGTGAAGGCGGTGGTGGTGATGCCGGAGGTGGCGAAGGCGCCCTAGCCCGGCGCGGCACGGGGCGATGGGCGCCAGGCGGGGGCGCCGGTCGCGCGACGCACGGGCTCGGCCCCAGCCACGCGCGGTATAGGGACAACATGCTCTGACGGCCGTCGCTCAGCGACTGCCCGCCCGCCCTCGCTCACGATACTTATATACGCGCGCTCGAGACGATACGATTTAATTACGGATTTATTTACCTTTGTAAATGACGTCGACTGAGACAATCGAAATGTATTAAAGTCTAGGTTTCATTCGGTAATACGGATTGCTAACATCGAATTTTGTTCAAAAGATGTGTAAAGTGTAAGCAATTAGATATTTAAATATAATTAATTAAAGTAGTAAAATAGTCTACGACTGTGAGCAGCTGCGTGCGGTGCGGGCACCGCGGGGTGTGCGCGGGGTGCGGGCGGGGTGCGGGGAGTCAAAGGGCCCGGTGACCGCGCGCATTAACAATTCATGCTAAACAAACCCTCGTAAGAAACTCTTCGTGTACTCAACATTTCATAATTGAAATTGTTCCCGCAGATAAAATCTAAATCTATACAAAGCGGGTTCACTTTCCTCTTATACATTTTTACCAGGCTCCCGTAATATTGTATATCTTAATTTAATTTAAGCTACATAATAATTAAAGTAATTAAAAAGCTCAGTCACTTTTATTGAGCAAAATTATACCTAAATGTACAAAATAAAAAAAGTAAAAACTTTTACTCTTTTTCGCAAAGCCTAACATAAAAAACAGATTTATCCAACATAGTGTATATAATAATAGAAAATAACTTAATAGATATATAGTGTAATTATTCGCATAATCATTTATTACAAAGTGAATAAATAAGTATGACGAAGTACGTTAAAAATGTAAAACCCTTGTCGAACTCCCCCGTCCTCTGTCCACATAAATATTCTCTTTAAAAATACCTCACAAACGGCTATAAAGAAAATTTGCACAAAACGACTTCTGGGACAAAACTCGGCCGTTTAATATTACACTATCTCTTTGAGGGTATTGTTTGAAATAGAAACTAAATGTTAAAGTTTTACTATGAAAATTACTTAATAAACTATACACTAATAATAAAGAATCTAGACAGAAAATAAAATAATAAAAATAAAAATAGAAGACTGTTTTCTGAATTGAAGTATAGTCCAAATTGGTTCTAACCAAAAAAATGTAAGCAAAAATAGTCCTTTTTTTTATCAGCTATGAATAGAGTATTTTCTCTTCCCACTTAGTAGCTGTCCCCAGGGACGCTTTCTGGACGTATTGAATAGCTGGTCTCCTAGGAAGATCTTACTACGATTTTACATTACAATCTACTTTGATATCTAGACTTTAGTAAATATGAACAATATTTTATTGGAATTCTAAAAACTTTAAAACACATAAATTACAAATGTTAAAATATTAACCAGTAATAAAATATTTACAAGCGAGAATATTATGAAGTAATCGTATTCGGCTAATGGTCCCGTCGACAACATAAAGCCGCGTGTGATGGCGTGTAAGCTCGCTTTGTCCCGCCGTCACGCTGTCACACTGTCCCGCTGTCCCCCTATCCCGTTGTCCCGCTAATCCCGCCTCGTCACGCTCACACGGAATTGCAAATCATCTGCCCAACTTCCTGACACTTGACGACTGATAGGGACACGTGTTTTACACATTTTATAAAACAAATAATTTATTATCCGATAAATATTTTAACAAATAATATTTTGTTCTCTAACTTTTGTTAAATATTCATTATTGCTGTAATTGTTTTACTAGCTGTTGCCCGCGACTTCGTTTACGCAATATTAAGATAAAAAGTAGCCTATAATATGCTATGTCAGCTACACTTCAGTGAAAATCCGATCGAAATTGGTCCAGCCGTTTCGGAGATTACTCGGAACAAACGCGGCTTGCGGACAGACAGACAAACAATCTTTAAATACGATTTTCGTTATCAGCAACGCAAATACATCTTCCCGATATCTGGAAGTTTTTTTTTATATTACAGACACTAATTTTATATGTATGGATGATTGTTCCTATCGCCAATTCAAATTAATAAAAAGTTACTAAACATAAGGTATGCGGGACGAGGCGATGCAAAGCGAATGTAAAGCGTTCGTTTAATCTGGTAGATGTCTCCCCCGTGTTTGCCAGCGCGGCTGTCGGCAAACACGCTCTCCGCAGCCCGCAGCACGCCGCCGCCTGCCGCCCGCCGGCTCGTTAAATTGTCACGCTCCGCAGCACCGACAAACATTGTCACATCCGACGTTATGTCACAGAGGACCGACAAGGCTATGTTAACTATTTACATATGGATAAATTGATTGAAAACTACTTTTATACTGGGTTCCTGAAGTTGCTGAGAATGGTTATAATTAGTTGGGAAACTGGCCATTAGTGGTTTAATTTTATAATTTATATTTGTCAAATTCTCAATAGCAAATGTCAAAATGACATGACATGACAAACCTTGGCAATCTTGCTTCCTTGATGTTGGCAGCAAATTATGGTCTCTTTCCAACATTAGGGTTTTTATCAAAAATATTTACCCCCTAACTTTAATGGCGTGAAAATATATAGCCTTAAACGTGAAGTAAATGTAGGGATTTTTATTAAAAAAATAATTATTCAAAAATATGCTGTAATTGCTGACATCTTAGGCAACAAAGAAGTGTGTGTTTACGCTTTATTATAATAGTATAGATAAATATAGATATATAACTCATTATTAGAATTGTACTAAGTTTCCTTTGCTATCCAATCCGACATTGGACGCCGATTCGGCGAAACGTTAATTCCCGCTGAAATTATACGGAGTGTAATCACCGCGGATCCAATTAGTGCTTGTTCAAATATCAGTAATTGGGTAGAATAATCGACAGTAGCCGGCGGTTAGCTGAAATCTAAAGAGAATCTCAAACCGCGGGTAATTAGAGAAGCACACAGACTGTTAATCCTGAATGTCTTGCTAATATTATTAATGCAAAAATTTAGATGGATGAACGTAATGTTTGTGGTTTGTAGCTTGAACTGTTCAACGGATTTCGATTAAATTTAGAATACATGTAGAGCATTATCTTAAAAACACATATGCCTACTTTGTTTTTTTAGTTAATTGCCGACTTCCCTAAAAGAAGGAGGTACTGTTACCGTCTGTATGTTTTTTTTTTGCTATTGTATTTTAAAAAGCTAGATTTCACAAAATGTAGTAGAAGGTGGTAACTGTCGCTCTCAGAGTCTTTAAGAGGTCTCCCTAAGTGTATTAATAGTAGATTTGTAGAATGTTATCGTATGTAGAGAAGCGAAAACTATGAAATAGTATTTGTATTGAAGTTTGCAACTAAACTTAACAATGTGCAGCGAAGTTGGTAGTTATTAGTTAAACGCAATCAGAGTTTAACTGAGCGAGATAATTTTGTGTATTCTGAGATGCAACTTTGCGTTATGCTGTTTGAAGTTATAAGCTGTCTGCAATTTGTTTGATAATTCATATCAGATAGTTATTTGATATTTAAAGAAAACACTTTCTATATAAATTATATATACGATAATAATACGCTACTGAAGCTTGTTTGCTAGTAGATTAAATAATAGATTAAGAGCCCATTTTGTTCGCTCGCGGAGCTAAAATCTATCGCTCAAAACAGTTTACCGTCGGATTTAGCAATAAATAATGTATGGTGCAGTGGCGCCGGCGGAGCGGCGGGGCGGCGGGGCCAAATCTGGCGGTTAATCTGCTACAGTTTGCAAATTGGCGCCCAACGCGGGGATGAATATTGCACGAGCCCCCCACCCCCGCCCCCC